CAATAAAAATGAAGAAAATTTTCTAAAAGTGGAAGTGCCTAACGAGTGTTTAATAATGATAAAAGTATTTATATTTTTAATAAATATAATCATTTACACTCCATGTTATTATTGCATCCCGTTAATGTACAACAATACTTAGGTGCAAATAGTATGTATCCGCCAGTATAAAGTATAAATGGCATCTAATTATTATTTACACTTATTGCAAAGAACTGCTACTTTTACATGGTAAATAGAATATATCACTATTTTCACTATAGTGTAACTAGAGCCATTTGCACTTAGCCTACTGTAAATAGGATATACCACTAAGAAAGTATGCTAATTCCACTTAGTGTAAATAACCGCTGCCGTATTTTTCTTACCCTATTGGCAGATCATTTGTAAAATAAGAAAAATGCACTTAAATTATTATTATTATTTTATATATATTTTTTGCCCGTGAGATACCATGAAAATGAATAGCCTATTAGTTCAATAACCTACTGTTCTGCCAGTTTTCACCTGTGATATTATAACAGTGATAAGAATTAAACTTGTATTGAGTCTTAAGTATGCAGACGTCTTTTTGGTGGGAGCTGTTGCCATAGTGAATCGTAATATCGGAGCTCCATTGATCATGGCTTTTCATAGTCGTGGTGCACGTGCTAAACTCAGAGTCAACCTACTCAGAGTCGATTGAACTAACTCAATTCAGCTGTTCTGAAACCGAAAACTCAGAGTTTCCCATCTCAGAGTAAGTCAACTCAGAGTTCAAGTTTTAACTCGAAATTGGTTGAACCTCCTTATTGAAACGGGCCCCTGCTCTGGTCAGTGCAGTGGTCAGTAGTGTTTTCTCTCACGGCATAGTTTTTCTCTGCATCGAGTCCTTGCCTCATCCCTTAACCAAACCTGATACACAGACTCTGGACTTTGATCTGGCAAGTAGAGATCAGCACTACAGTGTCCTTGGCATATAATTATAGGCTATAATGTAGCCATTTTCTTGAATGTTAAAATACCGTTTAGTGTTTTTAAATCAACACAATAAATGAAAAGGTGAGCTTTGACCAGACTAGACTTTGACTAGATAATCTCTACCACCTTCACATGTTTTCACATTGTGTTTTGTCACATTTTGAATTTCACAACTTGAAGTCAAACGTTCTTAACAGGAACACTGATGTTTCCTGTTGAGCTCAGTGTTGTGATGATGCTTTAGCTGCTGTTTCTCACAAACCCACTGGGCGATTTATCATTTAAATCAACATCATAAAATTAATGTCCAAAGTAGAAAGATTTGTTGTTCTGCTACACCAGCATGACACAATGCTGCAGATTTAATAAGATAGGGCGAGACACTGCAGGAGAATAGGGTAAAAAAAATAAAAATAAAATAATAGTTATTGCCTCATTTACCCAGCTAATTGATTACATTGATAATTGCAAAAAAAAAATTGTATTACAAGTTTTCTAAAATGTTAGGTTTAGATATGCAAACGAGTCATTATTTAATTAAATATGCGCTAATTTGCATACATTTCTAGTACAAAAATCTAAACACTGGATGATGTTAGTTTCAAAATTCTTGTTAAATTTTTTTGACATATTAGAGTCAAAAGTTTTTACAGAGGGAATTTTGGGTATCTCATTTTTGTCACTCCATAATTTAGAAAAAGCTTTAAAATTAAAATGTTGTATATAATCAAGCAAATTATATATGAACAAATCCCTCTGTAAAAACCTTCAGGATATAGATAGGAATAAAAATGTAAAGTTAGGTGTGTGTAAGTGCGACTGAAGTGGAGATTTATGGCTCAATGTAGGAGGAAAAACTCATTTTGAGAAAAGGCCTTTAAAAATATTTATTGTAATTTAAATCTATTGGCACAAATAGATAAAGTGCTATAAAAGAAACACTTAACAGTGTCTTTTGGATGTTTTCTTTCCACTAGTATGAAAAAACACTTTATGGAAAACCAAAAAGCCCAAAATTTCAAACTTGATAGGTGCATGAAAAAACAGTGTTTTTGCCTGCAGTGTCTCCCCTTAAGTAATCTATTCTTTCAATGAGTTTGTTATTGTTCAAACATGCAACAAGAGGAAGCACAGTAATTAGGTAAGGTGTATTCCTTTGTTCATTATTGTTTTTTAGAGGTTCCTCTGTAAACACAGCAGCGTTTATTTATAGCGCACTCTATCGGGTAAAAGTAGAATTGTTATCAGAGAGATGTGATTTCTATTTTGGACAATAGAGAGCGATGATGTGTTTGTGATACATGTCCAGCAGAGCATATTGTGTGAGATACTGTACACAACTATGCATTGCTCTCGATATGCAGTTAAATTTTGTAAAAAGAACCAGTCAAGAACAGTAAAAAACAGACAAAGAACAGCGAAGGGTGGGATTAATATTTAATAATAAAATTCCCTAATAGCTGAAATCAGTAGAGCTGCTGAAATCTTCTCCACATATGATGTTCCTGATGAGAGATTCAGAGACAGACTGAAGCTGGATCATCAAACTGGATCTCTGACCATCACAAACGCCAGAACATGCTGGACATTAACTACTGGAGATAATTGGAGCAAAATGGTAATTAATTATGGCACAAATGCTGTTGATTGAGCCTAACTGGTACTGAACTATTAATATTCCTTTAAATATTTCCATATTAACATTTGTGTATATAATTTTATAGTAGACTGTCAACACACTACATTGAAAATAAGGTTTGTTAAGATTTACTCATATTTGTGTTGATTCTCTCATGTTTTCCAGCTCGTCTACCCACTCCTAACATTACCAGCGATTCTTCACAATGTTCTTCATCATCATCATCATCATTGTTCAGAATTGTTCAATTGTTGTGTTCAGTGGTGAATGTGAGTCATTTGACTCTCTCCTGATACAAAGGAAACAGTTTATTGTTGTTTCAGCTCCAAGGATGCCTTCTTTTTTACGCATTTTAGTAACGTCAGCTTTTAAATTGACAGAATTTCCTTCAATCACTGATAATGACTCACCAAACACACCTGATGAATGATTTTGTCACAGATTAATAGGGTGAATTCAGGTAACGTGGGCCAGTTTCTTTCTTTTCTTTATTTTTTTTCTTTATTACTAAATATAGCTATTTCAGTCATGCAAGTACAGATCCTCTCTTATTGAAAGGGCAAACATAAAATTATCCAAAGCTGTTCAAAAAGCTTAACATACATTCTCATAAATGTTGTTTCTTATGCTCAAATAGCATTAAAAAGCATTTTTTTTTTCAGGCTAGACCCACAAATGCGCATGTGCAGTGAGCACAAAACCAAACTGAACACGTGTGTGAGCAGTAATTTCATCTTTCATGTGTTTTAATCTGCTGTAATGCAAAATTTCCACAATAGATACTTGATGAAAATGACAGCTTGAAGTTTATTTAATTGTGCTTGATTTATTTATTTATTAAGAATTAAGCTATTCTCAATGGGTGAAAACATTCCTCATTTGTCATTTTTGTAATTTAACATACTTTTTGTAAGGTAGTTGTCTGACTGTGTTAAATGGCTAGAAGTATAAGAATGTTGTGTGAATTGTGTATACACTACATTTCATTGTTTCACTGTAAAATTTTCATTGCTGATTTTAAAATGGTTTTATATATTTATTCAGTGCTTAATTTTAGTATATGGAAAAACAATGTAAAAAGTCAAAAACGTCTGCCACCTCACAAGTACCAGGTTTACTGAGGTTCAGCTTCTGAGTCAAACCGAATGCTGCTGTGTTTATTTTTTTCTACAGAAATGTGGTTTGATCTGTTGGGTGGACAAGCAGCTTGTGTTTGAATATATGGACATTTAGTTCATGTCTGTTTAGTTTGTAGGTGAAGGGTTTCTATCTGTCCTGCTACTGTGAAGAGCTTTTTTAATCTCTTCAATAAAACAAAACACAATGAGAAACTATTTCTGACCTTGGAGAAATTTTCAAGTATATATATAGGCTATATACAGTGGTGTGAAAAAGTGTTGGCCCCCTTCCTGATTTCTTATTTTTTTTTGCATGTTTGTCACACTTAGGAAGGGGGCCAACACTTTTTCACACCACTGTATATGGCCAGGCCCATGTGGCGCCGACACTGTTTCTGTGTGTGGAGGACTTCCTGGTGCTATTTTGCCATCATATATGTACGCTCATACAATGAGCACGTTTAGCCCAGCATACAGCATTGTTTTAGATGTTTGCAATGGAGCAAAGCGCAGAGCAAAGTGCACAAGACCATCTGAACAGTAGCAAAGCAGGAAGAAAGAAAGAACATTTACAGACACTTCACATTTAATGGTATTTGTTGATTTGTTATTTTGGCAGCACTTTATTTTACAGCCCTGTTCCTCATGTATATATTATGTATACTTATTATAGGCCTAGCCATTACAGTGACTGAGTAATAGCTACTAACCCTGAACCTACCCCTAAACCAACTTTCTTGGGTAAGTACACTGCAATTGCACTGTAAAATAAAATGTAATCGTTAATTGCATTTAATAGATTACTACACCTTCAATAAACCACTTTCAATCGACCTGTAAAAGCTGTTTTATGCATGATTTAGAGACTGAGTTTTTGCGTATAAACAGTTTTGACCAGCAGGCGTCACCAGCGTGTGGTGTTTGGAGCGATTCGAAACAGTGAATCATTGGATCAATTGATTCAAAGCTTCGAAAAGGTCCGTTTCGCACTAAGGGAGTTCATAAATGCCATAGACTGTATAGAGAAATGCACGCAAGTCCAAACGCAATCAATTCGCATATCAACGCACTAGAAAAATGTGCAAAATATACTGATCCTTGCTAAAATAAAGGCAGTTGTATATTGTAAGAATTATTTATAATGTTTAAGAAAAATGATAATTTAAAGATAACGAATTAAATAACTGGCTTTTTTTCTTTCTTTTCTTTTCTCTTTTTTTGAATTAGGAGACATGTATCGTAGACAAAACACTAGTAATTTAATGAATCTATTGGACTTCCTCTTAGAATAGAATCCTCCCAGTTTGATAGCTTATACTTTCGTTTTGCCGTGTTATAGAAACAGAACGGGCTTCTATTTCCACAGAAATCTGCATTAGTTTCTCAGAAGACAGATCGTGGAAATGACTAACTTCTTCATTGTGGTCCCTGTGTGCGTTTTTTCACTTGGTAAGGCATGCTCCTCTTTTTTTTCTTTTTTTTTTTACGAATGTCAAGTGTGACGCAGTTTCAGTTTGTACTGACTCTGATCACTATACAGTCGACGGATGTTATTATTTCTAAATTGTCGTTAGCAGCGTTTTGGATGACACATTTAGATACGTTTGGGTAACGGCGTTCAGTGGCGTCGCAATTAAAACAGTGAAAGGTCACTTACGAATCTGTATTCATACTTAAAGCTAGCGTGTATCGTTTTCGGTGTTATACTTTCTTCTGTCCCAGCTTACTAGGCTTTAAAGCATTCATAGGTTATTTTTATTGAAAATTGTGAACACCATGTCTCTGGGGTGTTATGGATATTCCCCTGTTTGTTTTGAGCATTACGTTTAGTCATGCATGTTATGCAAACACAGCTGATGGATTTTAAAAACAGTGCATGTTTTTGTAATTCCCCTGAATGCCCTATAGTGGCGCTCTGGCACAAAAATGAAATGAAACTTTAAAGGGGTCATATGATGCTTTTTTAAAGATCATTATTTTGTGTATTTGGTGTAACAGAATATGTTGACATGCTTTAATGTTCAAAAAACACATTATTTTTCAAATACTGTACATTATTGTAGGTCCTCTATGCAAAAAATATTTGGGGGCATATTTTGTTCTCTGTTGTAGGCTAATCATGAATACTCTTTATTTTAGTTTATAGTTGATTTTCTGACCCAGTCTTTTTATTTATATATATATATATATATATATTAGCTGTAAACGAGGATGCCTTCAAGCCTGCGCTAAATAATATATTTGTGCGAAGTACTAGTCCTATCATATTTTTATATAATACAAGTACCCTTTAAATGGTTGTGGGATGCAGACATTTGCAAGGGAGTGAGTGAGTTGGCCTCTGAGAAAAATATTGAAAAGTACTTAGTACTAATAGCCTACTAAACGTATGGCATCATGCTGTAAGAAGGTCACTTATCTTGAGGTAAATATTGATTTGTTTCAAATTATCATTGGAGATGCAACTTGTAAAATTGAAAATAAAGACAATATTTTGAAACATGAAAAAGTATTATTTCATAATGATGTGTAAAATATTCCAGCCCTTTAAAGGGGTAGTGTTAATCAGGGGTTTAAGGCTCTGTGAAAATATGCATTATTCACAATACTTGAAGAAGGGGGCATATAGGAAATAGTATGTGGATTATATAATGAATAGATGTTTTGTTTTTTTTATTGCTGTAAATCAATGATCTTCTGCTGTTTGTTTGCACATTACATTATGAATCCACATATATTTCTCTACTCACAAACTTTATCTTTATCTGTAGAAACATTTTCACAGCATTTTCCAGCTGTATAACTTTGTTTGGCTTATCTAAACTGTTGATTTCTTCCTCAGGTGTTTTTGTGGATGATGTAAGCGGAGTGTCAGTGTTTGTGATGGAGGGAGATTCAGTCACTCTACACACTGATGTTAAAACAAACCAACATGAAAAGATTAAATGGTTTTTTAATAACATTCGCATTGCTCAAATCACTGGAGATCTCCGAAAGACCTGCACAGATGTTCAGTGTAATGAAGATACTGAGAGATTCAGAGGCAGACTGAAGCTGGATCATCAGACTGGATCTCTGACCATCACGAACATCACAATCACAGACTCCGGAGATTATAAACTACAGATCATCAGCCACAGCAGCAAAAGTGAAAAGACCTTCAGTGTTGTCGTTCATGGTAAATCTTTTTGTGGATGTTTAAAGACAGGCTATATACTTAAATCACAATTTGTTTATTAGAGCAGAGAGGTTCAAAGCTGTTTATGCTCTTTACCTGTATTAGAGTAGCATGCTATTTACCATAATATTTGATTCTGTTTGGTTCACCAGGAATCCAAAGTGCAGAGGATTTGATTTAAAACAAATATGCATGTCCAGAAGCACAAATTGTGAATAAATTTTGCTTTACACACTAAAGGTCAAAAAAGAGCATGCCTGCCTCAGTGGCATGTTGTTGCTTATGTTTTTTATTATTTCATATTTGTAATTGTGTTAATATTTAAAAATTCGATTAATTAGATGTACATCTCCTTTATTCATCAAAACGTACAATCTAGTAATAAATTAATAGTTTTAAATTAATAGTCTATTCATAAATTAATAGTTTCATTGCTATTATGAAGTCCTTAATAGCAATAAAGGAATCTTCACACTACATGCATCAATAATTAATTTTTCATCCTGCAGAGTTGATTCTTTTATCAGTTATCAATTTTTTTTTATATCAGTTAATTATTGCTGATTTTATCCAAATTGTCAAGTTCCAAGAAATTAATGCTTAATATCTTTAATATTCATAGTTATTTATTTATATTGTCATTGTTTTGTTTTGTTTTGTTTTTAAATATATATTTTTGGCATGTTTGCCTTTATTTTATACAGGACAGTACAAAGAGCGGACAGGAAGCAAAGTGAAAGAGATCGTCAGCAAGACCACGAGCCGGGACTTGACTCGGGTCTCCCAAAGTGTATTGTGTCAGAGCGCTGCTCATGAGACTATTGGCTCTGACATTATTTTTTATCGCAGAAAAAAGATCCTTCAAACAGCTGTTCATTTGTGTTTCAGGTGTTCCTGCTGCCGAACGAGATGAAATGCAGAGAAAGCCATTGAAGGAGGGAGAATCTGTCACTTTAGATCCTGGTGACATAAAAAACACAGATGATGTGATAACATGGTATTTTAATGACATTGTCATTGCTGAAATCACTGGAGATCCCAATGGAACCTGTACAGATGTTCAGTGTAATGAAGGTACTGAGAGATTCAGAGACAGACTGGAGCTGGATCATCAGACTAGATCTCTGACCATCAGAGACATCAGAACCACAGACTCTGGACTTTATAAACTTAAGATCAGCAGCAGAAGCTTTATCATCCACCGGCACCGCAGCATCAGTATCATCAGCGAAAATAACTTCAGTGTTACTGGTGAGTATAATTGAGTTATTCCCTTGATCAAGTTCAGATAGTTTAATGATTTTTATGTGTTCATTGAGGCCTGTTTGACAAAGAGAGCTCTCATTATTAATATATAATTGAGATAATCTCTTCACCACGGTATGCATGTTGAATGACATATTTGTCATAAAGTGATTACCATGAACAATGCCTATAATCAGTCAGAATTGTAATGCTGCTTTAGGTGGTATTCTTAAAACAAAACAAACAATGCCACCATTTATCAGTTGACTCATAATCATCCTGTAAATCATACATAACTCAACTGATGACTACAGTAGAAAGGTGTAATCAATTAAAAGTCAATCTCCTGTAATAATATCTGTCTTTATCATTACAGATCGGAGTGTGCTTTTATTTGTCATCATAGGAATATGTGTTCCTGTTCTGCTGGTGCTTGCAGGTTTAATTGGTAAGACTTTCTCTCTGTGTGTGTGTGTGTGTGTTTGCTTTTGTGTTTTCTTTGTGTTTGATATGGTTTCACTCAGTCATCATTATAAAAACTGATATAACTGAAAAGTCAATAATTGACTTTTTAAGATATTTAAGACAATTTAAGATTTCATGCCCACTGGATCCTCTTGTAAAGAGCAAGCACTGAAAACCCCTGAAGCCTTGTGACGTTTACCTGGATTTAGCTAACCCTGGAATGTATTCTTTGTGTTTGATATGGTTTCACTCAGTCATCATTATAAAAACACCAATATAATTGACTTTTTAAGATATTTAAGACAATTTAAGATTTCATGCCCACTGGATCCTCTTGTAAAGAGCAAGCACTGAAAACCCCTGAAGCCTTGTGACGTTTACCTGGATTTAGCTAACCCTGGAATGTAGGTTCACGGGGTAAGTTGAAATGGTTACTAATGCACCTTGAAACTAACCTGGTTTTTGGAACCAAAATTTGAGGTTAACAGCTTGCTCTGAGTTTGCGTTCCCTGCTTCCACCAGCTAGACCAGCACCAAACCAGTTTGAGGCAGCAGGCATTCATGTTGCTGTAAAATGGTCTTTGCATCATTTTTTATTTATTTTTTATAAAATGTAAGCCTGGGTGAATCAAAGTTCACATTTGTAATTTATAAGGGGGTAGCAATACTCAATTATTAAATATTCCTGTGCTTTGTACAGTCACAAAAACTTCCACACACTGTATTTCATTTCAGTTTAAGGGAAAAATCTAAATAGTGGTGGAAAATTAATTAAAAAGACAAACAGTCAGGACTATATAAGCACATTTGTTGTACAAGAATGAGACGAGCCAAAATTGAAAAAGGTTGCATGCTGTGTTTGTCAAATAAGTGATGTTGACACTGCAATGATGCAAATAAGAAAGTTAATGTGGGTTTATGAATTTCAAAACCTGATAACCAAGTATTATCTCCTAACCCAGTGAGGATTCTGTCTTCAGTGTCTTATCTCTTATGTCTAGAATTACCTGGGGTTAATATATTATTTATATGAAAATCCCTAACGCATTTCTGTATTTGTTTTATGCAACTATCAGGAAAAACAAAAGTCTTGTGTTTTTGTGTTTGTGTAACTGATACATCAGTTCTGTTAATTTTTATTTACCTTCTGTGAATCTGTTTTCTTTCTTACAGGACAACGGTGTAGAAGACTTAAAAGTGGTATTCCCATAAATAATCCATCAGCTGTGCTTTAATTGCACAGAGGTATACAAAGCATAATTTGCAGTATATATAATTCTGTTGCAACCATTTAGTTCTTTTTTAAACACTGTTTGGTGTAACGTGATGCAATCTTTATCTTCATACTTGCAGCACAACGATAACTTGCAATATATTTGTGCATCATGGCTAGACCCTGAATGTGTGGATTGTTCCGCTGATCCACTAATGAAAGAGAGAGAAATAAATTTATTCTTTTGGGTTATATACAGATATAGATGTATATATATATTTTTTTATCTTTCTCTCACTGTGTTCATTTCATATCCTTTGTGCTTATAATGGACTTTGGTTGGTTATCAATCACTTTTTGGGGCTTGTCATTGTCACACATTTGCTGTGTCTTGTTTTTGACTTTTATGTTGAAGTTCATATATATATTTTTATCTTTCTCTCACTGTGTTCATTTCATATCCTTTGTGCTTATAATGGACTTTGGTTGGTTATCAATCACTTTTTGGGGCTTGTCATTGTCACACATTTGCTGTGTCTTGTTTTTGACTTTTATGTTGAAGTTCTGAACTCTCGGGTGATTAACCTAAACCTTGCTTAAATGGGCTCAAGAGTAAGTTCAGTCAACTCCGAGTATGTTAATAGTGAACATTCTCAACAGAGTGCCGATTCCACAAGTCACCATGAAGCATCATACTTCATACTACATCATACATCTTCTTTTGTTTAATTGCGCTATACATTCTTAGTGTGGGCAGGTGAACAGTCATGTTTAATTTGACCTTTCAATGTCTTTTATTCTTTCTTTTTTTTTTTATTACTATGTACAAGTAATGGGGGAAGTTGTGGCCTAATGGTTAGAGAGTCGGACTCATAACCCAAAGGTTGTGGGTTCGAGTCTCGTACCGGCAGGGATTGTAGGTGGGGGGAGTGAATGTACAGCGCTCTCTCCCACCTTCAATACCACGACTGAGGTGCCCTTGAGCAAGGCACCGAACCCCCAACTGCTCCCCAGGCGCCGCAGCATAAATGGCTGCCCACTGCTCCGGGTGTGTGTTCACGGTGTGTGTGTGTTCACTGCTGTGTGTGTGCACTTTGGATGGGTAAATGCAGAGCACTAATTCCGAGTATGGGTCACCATACTTGGCCACATGTCACTTCACTTTCACTTTCACAAGAATTATATTGTTGTTTTTCAAAATATGTAAATTGTATATAATATATTGTATAAGATTATATATAGCCATTTTGCTTTCACATACGTTGTAAGATGAGATGTATCAAATATGAATTTTATTTATGGAATTTCCCCCTGTGTTTGTTGCTGATCTCAGATCAGATTGTATCGTTTTAATTGATCCTGATTAAACACAGCACTTGGATCCTGTTTCAGACAAATTCACCATCACAGTCAGTGTTTACATCTATGTTATTAAATATAAAAGTTTAACAGAAAGAGCTTAACTAATAGATACAAGAAAATAGGCTTTGTTAAAAAAAAAACCTATCAGAGATGAGGTCTTGTTGTGAACACTAGATGACGGTAGTCTAGCATTGCAAGCCCATGGTATCATATCGAGGGGGTCAGGGGTTTTTCTGGTTAGCATGGCCTCTTTACTTTCTGCTGGCAAAAAGCATATTTCTCAACTGATTTCCTTCCATATGTATTTGTTTTTGTAATTAAATTTTGGTTAAATGAAAAATGTTAAGTTATCAGTGTTGTGACTTTAACTTATTTTCCTGCCACAGCTATTTATACTTCTGCAAGCTTGCACTAAACTACATTACTAGGGTCGCAACTAGTGGTTACTTAAAAAAATGATCAAAACTGAAGAATAATAGAACAATTAACGGACTATTTGGGTGATTTTTGCAACAATAGTTAGTCCTTAACTGACTGTCCTAACTCTTGGGCCAAAATTGTCCAGTTATAAACAATGTTTATTGTTTATTCATATTTGTTTTTTTCAGAATCAGAATGAGCTTTATTGCCAGGTATGTTTACACATACGAGGAATTTGTTATCGTGACAGAAGCTTCCACAGTGTAACAGAATGACAGTAACAGAACAAAAAACACAGATAATAAAAAATAGAACAAGTAAATAAGGAATAAAAATATATAAATTGACAATTGTATGTGCAGGTATATTACAATAGACAGTTTTGCATGTACAGGTACTGTATATTATGTGCAAATTTGAGGTGTAGACCGAGTATGAGTGTTAGATAAATAAGTGTATGAGTGAATAAATAGTCTTGAGAACATATTAGTCTACATAAATCCTTCATGTATTTGTACTGACTTTACATGTAATCTCTTGTGCTTTTGGTGCACTGTCAAAACTTGTTTTCAGTAGGCTTACGTACTTGTGTGAAGCCTTAGTGTGGTACACTTACTGTTCTTAATATCCATTTTCTGAGGAAAAACGAATTGTGATTCGTGAAAATTAGCTGATATGGTGCAAAAGATAAGCGAGAGTAACATAAATAGCCCAGTGTTTGCTTGATGTGCGACACTGAAAACAACTCTTTCAAAAGCACGATGAGGAGCTTGCAAAACATTTTCAGTTCCAGTCGATTATGTAATGGCGTGTTAGCAAAACAACACGCCCATCACAAGGGGGGCTCATAAATATGCATGAATACCCCACCCATTTTAATTAAGTAGCGACAGAGCGACACGCATCATAATCTGAAAACCACGCCCACCGGGGGAAAACAATCCAACCCTCTCCAATGCGGTGTGGGCGTGGCCTAAATGCGCTCTGTGTCTTTTCTCAGGAACCGCCGTGCAGTCATGCGCAGCTGCACTCCCCCGACTGAGCTTACCAAAAACAGGAGGAAACGACTTGCAGACGATACAGCTTATGCATATTGGTTGAAACAACTAGGGTGAGCACCCGTCCAGCTTTGCGTTACCGCACAGCATTTTTACCGCTTGTCCCGCACATCACATATTGAGAAAATGCCACATCATCAGTCTGTTGGTTTTTAATTGTCATATTAAGAAAACGTACATACGTTCTTTTGCCTTTTTAAGAAAGCTTTTTATTTATTATTTTCGCAGCGTAGTTTCCACGCAAATGATGTGCGGACCTCATCAAGTGAGTTGGCACCACCGACGGAAATGTTCGAGCGCACACGGAAAAACACGATATTCTCCATTAATTTTAACCAATTAAAAAAAAAATCAATGCCTGGTTTTAGCTGTTATTTTATTTTTATTTATTTTTTATTTTTCCCTTCAGCAGGGAAACTCTAAAATCATGGCAAATTCAGAGATTTCAACCTTCAAGAAAATCATATTTGTTTTAATGCCATTTAAGACACAAACCAATATCTTTTTACTCTGCAGGACAGTGACCCCTAGGCACTTGACACCCCTGCATTAAACCTTCAACTTAACATTTTAGGATTTGAACTTTATTTAAGCGAAATAACTACAAATTTGCAAAAGCTAATTTTGTAAAAGCTTCATGTATTTATATTGGAGGTAAAGGCTATTCTTGGAAATTCCTGGTTAGGATCGGGTTCGCATGTAGGTGGCGGTAATGCGCAAGAATTGGTGCGATCCGCCAGTAAATAAAAGAAGAAGAAGGTCACGTGACCCATTCTGTTTGTGGACTGGGAGGGGCGTAACTTGAAATTGTCCAAATCACACAGAAGCACGTGAGATGTCAAAAAATATTTCATTTGTGGAAAGCAAAATGCAATGAATGAGGTAGAGACATGGGCTAAGATATGGGGTTTCGTTTTTCTGTGGCGAAAACTCAAGTAATTTGTTTTTCGAATAAGAAAAATAATCCGAAATTAAACATTAAAATGTATGGCCATCTGTTGGAGCAAGTGAAGGTCGTCAGATTCTTGTTCTGTATTGCGTATCTTGTCAGTGTCTGCGCTTGCTTGGCCATTTGTTGTGAAAAAAAAAAAGTAAAGTGTGTCCAGCTGAATTAATTTAGTATTTTGTTAGACGGGTATAAAAAAGCTTAGTTTACCGCGGCAGCCGTCGCGTGACGGCCTCCTCGTGTGCAGACCGAAGTGTGTAAAGACCATGGACTCTACCGTGCGACTCCACCGGGCAGGACACCGGCAAAGGAAAAATATCGCTTTTTATTTCTCCTCTTTCCTACTACTTGTTTCACTTCTGTTTCAGTTTTTATAACCATTTCTTACTATGTGTCAGTAAGTTGTTGTTATTTTAGCATGTGTGTTTGGTATACTTAACCGAGACATCTTGCTATTGCTTGCTGGGAGATTTTAATTTGAGCACCAGCTGCATCTTTACACTTAAAACATCTTGTTCACAAATTGGAGAAAGTTTTTTATTGTTCAATTAATCTAGAGTTGCATTTCTGTGTTTGTATTTCTAGTGTTTTGATGCAGGTTGAGAAATGCAGAATTGTTTGCGTGTGTGTGAGAGAGAGAGAGAGAGAGAGAGTGAAATTAATACAGAGCACTGTCCAGTTTCATAATATAGATATGGACATGCAATCTGATGTGGTGTTTGGAAATTGTCATAGATTACACTCTTATCAAAACATTTATTTATTTAAAAAAGAAATTAGAGTGCATTAACTTTAAAAATTATGAGGATGAATTAATGACAATTAGAGCTATCAACTGTCTAAATATTTAGAGTATATTTTCAAAGTATTATTTATTGGTTAAAAGCAGTAGGTAACATTTACCTTCTTGGTCTGTTTTTCTTTGTTTCCTATAGATCCGGAAGATCCCAATTACAGCTACAATCAACAAAGATCCAACAGCAGCAGCAGAGATCAGCACTATCAGAGATACAGAACCTTCTGAAGACCCTGAAGGAAAGTATGCTGTGAAGATTAAGAGAAACATTAATGTAAGTAAATGTGTACATGAACATTAATATCATAACTGCCTTACCTGAATATGTGTGACAGAGTTTGATGATGTCCAGATATCTGGTCTG